GTGACTGCTGTGAGCTCTGTGGGGCCGGGCTAGCTCCACTTCTGAAAAAAACGGAGGGAAGAATAAAGACAAAGCAGCGAAGACAGACCCTGGAATCTGCTCAGACAGGTTCTGGGAACAGGCAGGCTCTGTGCCCCTTCCTTCCCTCCAGGGTCTCCGGTGGGTCCCGGACATGGAGGGCATTAGGACCTGGGGCAGGGCTGCCTTCAGACTAGTGTCCCCTTCTGGGAGGGTGCTAATCTGCTGGGCTGGGATCCTGGTGTCTGTGAGGGGCCATCTCCAGGCTCCCCACCCCAGACTCCACTCTGACTTCTCTCTGCAGCTCAGGTACCAGACAGTGATGAGCAGTTCGTTCCTGATTTCCATTCAGAAAACTGTGAGTAGAGGGCCCTGGGAGGGAGGGGGCGGGAGGAGGAGGGCAGGAAATGAGTCATAGGGCTGGAGAATCACTGGGATCAACTACTTGCTCTCTCCTAAGGCAAAAAGTGAAGGGCAGGGCTCCCCATAATTCTTTTGAGCTCAAAGACCAAGGTAGCCACTGGGAGACCGGAATCTCGGTTCCCATCTGAGATTTGCCCCATGCTGGCTGTGTGACCTTATTGCAGACACCTCTTCTCTGGGAGCCTCAACTCCTTAGCAAGGAGGGCTCCGCCTCCAAAGTGGCTCTCCTGCAACCAGGGGTGAGTTTGCTCTGGATGAGACACTTGGCGCTCTCTGTAGACCTTTTGGCTGGTCACACGTGGGGGGTGAGTGGGGTGCTGCTCCTGGCATCTGGTGAGGGGAGGACAGCCTCCCACCCAAAGAAAGACAGTCTCGGGGGGCCCTTATGTCAGTGGCGCCGCCGCTGGAAACTCTGCTTTCCTCTGGGGTGCTTGGCCTTCAAATGCCTTCCCCGGTGAAGTGGGCACAAGGCACCGCGCACAGCACCCACCCAGCCCGGAACCAACCCTCTGCTGCTCAACCTGCTGGCTGGGTGCCGTTCTTCACAGATAATTGGGAGCATGTGTGTGATGCTGTCCAGCTGACGTTCCAGTGGGCCAGTAGCCAGTCTTTGCCAGGAACAGAAAGATCCTTCACAGCCCCAAACAAGAAAACATTGCCCTCCCTGGGAATGCTCCAGGCCACTCGGGCTGGAGGTGCTTGCTCCCGTGGAGATGTCTGCTGGGCGTCGGCTCTGCAGTCAGTGCTGAGCTTTCGACAGTTTCTTTGGTTGACATTAGACGTTCAAAAAGGAACACACACTGCCATCGAGTGAAGGCCGACTGGCGGTTCGGCTGCTGCGTGCCGCTAGGTAGAATGTCAACCGCCACGTTGTTCTCAAAAGCGTCGGGCTGTCAAGCATAGTGCCCCTCAGTAAACACTCGCTGCCATTCTGACTCACAGCGACCCTCTAGGCCAGGGTCGAACTGCCCGTGGGCTTCCAAGACTGTGACTCTCTACCCGAGAGAAGGCCTCCTCTGTCCCCCACAGCGGGCCGGTGGGTTCGAATGGCTGACCTCGTGTGGGAATCAGTGCACGCATAACCACTCTGTCACCAGGGCTCCTAGAAGAGTCCCTGGGTGGGCAAATCCCCACCTCGCTCGGCTGGTAACCAACCAAAAGGTGGAAGCGGGGCGTGTCCAACCGGAGCCCCCTTGGAGAAAGTGAAAACCCCACCACAGGTGTCTCCATGGAGATCATGCAAATGACATTATGGGTGTCATCTGGGTTGGGGGTCATCCCAATGGCAATGGGGGCGGCTCTGGGAACACAGAACCCAGAGAAGGGATGAGGCTGTACCCATCCCCCAGCTGGTCCCCAAAGGGCGCACCTGCTGGGAAGCCCTGCCCGCCCCTCCCCTCCCCTCCAGTGACTCTGCTCTCGCCCCTCCATCCCTCTCCTCTCCACCGTTACAGTGGCTTTCCACAGCCCTACCACCAGGGTCAAGAAGGAGCCCCAGAGTCCTCGCACAGAGCCGGCCCTGTCCTGCAGCAGGAAGCCGCCGCTCCCCTACCGCCATGGTGAACAGTGCCTTTACTCCAGGTGAGCCCCCACCGGGGGAGGGGGAGCCCCTGAGAATAAAACCAATAACCCTCAATGCCGTGGGATCAATGCCAGAGGACAGGGCAGAGCCACCCCTGGGAGCTTCCGATGCTTACAGGAATAGAAGTCCCCATCTGGCGCCCTGGGAGCGGCATGGTTTTCTAGCTACTTAACCTTGCCAATCGCAGCCCAACTTCATCACCACTCCGCCCCCAGGGCTCCTGGTCCCCTGAGAAGAGGGCAGTGAAATGCATGGGAGAGGACAAAGAGGTTTCCAAACTGCAGTAGTCTAGCTGGGCAAGGGAGCAGGGGGTCACAAGGATGTGGGTGAGGCTGGGCAGAGGGTTGCCACCAGAGCCTCCTATTGCTCCAGTTTGCCCTGGGCTCAGAGAGGGGTTGGGGGAGGGGGGTGGATGGGGGAGGGACAGACACGAGATGGACAGAATGGATGAGAGAGTGGTCACTTAGGATGGAGCCTGTGGCTTCTTTGCCAGCACCCTCTACCTCTCCCCACAGAGGCCCCGGGACTGCACTTCCCTGGGGAAGGAGGGCTCAGAGAGGTTCGCCCAGCTGCTTTGCCCCTCACCCCCATCTCCCCTGCAACTCCAGTGCCTATGATCCCTCCAGACAAATCGCCATCAAGTCCCCCGCCCCCGGTGGCCCTGGACAGTCGCCCCTGCAGCCCTTTCCCCGGACAGAACAAGAGAGTTTCCTAAGGCCCCCCGGCACTTCCCAGCACCCCCCTGCTGGCCATGGGTACCTGGGGGAGCACAGGTAAGGAGACCAGCCAACCTGTCGGCCCAGGTCTACCCAGTTGGCCCTCAGTCCCTGAGCTCTGTCCACAAATACCTGGGAGCGGGGAGGGCAGGAGGAGGAGACACCGACCCCCCCACCCACGTGAGAGCCCATTTGGCACCCTTGAGGAGGAAGGGCTGATTCAAGGGTCTCTTCTTTTCCTTCTCTGCCCAACCACCTCCAGCTCCATCTCTCAGCAGCCCTCGGACATTTGCCACTCCTTCACATCCTCTCAGGGAGGGGGCCGGGAGACCATCCCAGCCCCCTACCCACACCAGCTCTCGGAGCCCTGCCTGCCCTACCCCCAGCAGAGCTTCAAGCAGGAATACCACGACCCCCTGTATGAGCAGGCGTGTCAGCCGGCAGTGGGCCCGGGTGGGGTCAATGGGCACAGGTACCCAGGGGCGGGGGTGGTGATCAAACAAGAACAGATGGACTTCGCCTATGACTCAGGTAAGCCATCCTGCAGGGGAAGAGGGTTTGGGGTCAGGGTGGCATGTGAGCCAGTGAACACGTCCGTGAACCCTCGATAACGCCCGCCCTGCAAGATTTACCTTCCCCTCATCGATCCATCTCCCAGTTTGTGCACCCGGCCCACCCACGCACGCCGCTGCAGTCAACAGAATTAGGGGTTTTCAGTGATCTGAAAACCAGTCATTGCTGACCAGTCAATGCTGGCTCACAGTGACCCCCATTCCCCCACCGCCTGTGGGTGTCCAAGACGGTAACTGTTCACAGGAGTAGAAAGCCCAGTCTTTCTCCCTCAGAGCTGCTGGTGGGTTCGAACTGCACACCCTGCAGCTCGCAGCCCAACGAGAGTCACCACGACTGCGCCATTGCACGTCTGGTTCAGAGCAAAGATCTGAAGCCTGGCCCGCAGGCGGCACTGGCTTCGTTCTAACTGGCATTTGGGGAGTTCATCTACAAAAACCGGAAGGCTGGGCCCGAGCGTGCGCTTCGGGAATTGGGGGATACGACGATGACCAGGTCCCTGGCCCCAGGAGAAGCTTTAAAAAGCAAAGGGAGTAGAGTGAAAAAAACAGCCAGGCTCAAAAGGTCCCACCCAGTTAGGACGCAAGACTAATGGGTGGTTCCCACATCCTGGTTTATGGGGCCCAGGAAGTCAGGCTGGACGGAATAGACTGCTGTAAATCCTGGTTCTTGCCCCCTGCCATTCATAAATAGCTTAGTGTTCTCATTCTCATTTCGGAAGGCCCTGGAAAAGCCAGTCTTCTGCCCTCCTGGCTTCTGTTACATTGTTACCAGCCCCAAACCTGTTACATTGTTACCAGCCCCAAACCAGAGGTCATCTACCAACCTGTATTAGGGAGTCCCGGTGGGGGTGGGGGATTCAGAGATTAGAGTTGGCTAGAATTTTAGAATTTCCCTTTTCTGGGTGCCCAGGGGCTTCAGGGGGCCGGGGCAGGGACAGCAAACCCGAGCCAGAAGGGTGGACGTCTGAGCCGGGCCAAGCCTCAAGGCGGAGGGCTGGGGAGGTGCTGCGCTAGCCCTGACCTTCAAAGGCTTTTGACCAGAGGGGGATCCAGTTTCCTGTCCTTGAACTCCAGCCCCTCCCCCTCGGCTTAATTCCATTCACAAAATGGAGGCATGAATGAGCCCACTCCCGCCTCCGCCCGGAGGTGTCGGGTTTCAGCCTCATTCAGCGGTGGGAGTCGAGGGGGAGGGCTGGCTGGGGCTGAAACTTGGAAGGGGGTTTACGCTCCCGCCTCTGGGAGGAGTGGGGAGGTTTCCAGCTTACAGAATGGAACGAGTGTACTGAAAAAAGGTGGCTAGACTCCTAGGGAGTGTGCATGCACGCGCGTGCGCGCGCACACATGCACCCGCGCACACATGGCTGGGAACCTGACCTGACCGGACGTTTGTCCATTCCGAAGGAGGCTCAGGCATGGACACTGAACCCCTTGCCCGGAGGTTCAGCCCTCCCTCTGCACTCAGGAAACAGCTGCTCCCTGGCATCTAGGCCCCCGGTGGAACAGCACTGCCCTCTGCCCAGGCCCGTAGCTGGGGCTCCACCTTCATTCCCTCTGGGTGAACTTCCCCTGGGATTCAGTGGTGGGCAGGCAGCTGGGAAAAGAGCCCAACTCTCTGGAACACAGGCTGGCAGGAGGAACTGGAAGGGGGTGGTGTGTGTGTGTGTGTGTGTGTGTCCAGCCACTTAGCCTGCCACCTCTCCTCCCTCCCCAGATGTCCCTGGATGCACATCAATGTACCTTCACACAGAGGGCTTCTCTGGGCCCTCCCCAGGTGATGGGACAATGGGTAAGGTAGCCCCCATCCCTTCCAAGTCCTCGAGGGGTGGCGGCGGGTAAACCCTGCTGAGGGGAGGGAGGGTCTCCTTGGCCAGAAGCCCCTCTGGACTGTGGGGCCTCCTATCAGTGAGTCACCTAGATCTGAGTGGTCCCCAACTTCCTCCCCAAGGCTACGGCTATGAGAAGCCTCTCCGACCCTTCCCAGATGATGTCTGCGTCGTTCCGGAAAAATTTGAAGGTCAGAGAAGTTACTGTTCTGGAACGCATCGTATGGGAACCCTCTGGCTCTGCTCCCCAGGAAGCCCCCGCTGCCTTTCACCCTGAGGGTGTGGTACCTGGGAAGGCCCAGGAGAGGGGGAAAGGTTCCCAATGGGCGTGCAGGGTTGATGTGGGGTTTCCAGAAAGGCCGAGGACTCCGCCACCCACCTCATGTTTCCCATCTTGCCCAGGAGACATCAAGCAGGAAGGGATCAGCGCGTTCAGAGAGGGGCCGCCCTATCAGCGCCGTGGCGCCTTGCAGCTGTGGCAGTTTCTGGTGGCCCTGCTGGATGACCCCGCGAATGCCCATTTCATTGCCTGGACCGGACGGGGAATGGAGTTCAAACTGATCGAGCCTGAGGAGGTGCGATTCTCCAGTGCCTCCTTGCCAGCAGCTTTGGGCCCTGAGAGACCATGGAGAGGACGAGCGGGGGCACGGGTCTCCACTGACCACCCTTGCTGGGCTTGACCCTGGCTGCGGGCTGCTGCTAGTGTGGCAAAGCTAACAGCTCCTTCTGCCTTGTCTCCCTCTACTGAGCTAGCACTGCAGCGCACCCCCGCCCACCTTTGTTTCTTCTGTCCCTAGGTGGCCAGGCTCTGGGGCATCCAGAAGAATCGGCCGGCCATGAATTATGACAAGCTGAGCCGCTCACTCCGATACTACTATGAGAAAGGCATCATGCAGAAGGTCAGGGTCAGTGGGGGTGGGTGTGGGTGGGGGGCTTGGAGAGCAGCCCTCAGCAAGTGTGTAGGAGCCAGTAATGACCCAGGCAGAGGGGATGAGACACTGGGGGGCTCGGCATCCGCAAAGTGCCAGAGGTTGTTGGGGAAGATGGAGGCAGGGTGGGTTCCGACCAGAGGAGAGCAGGGACTGTCTGCAGCCCCCTGCCCCGGGCGGAGGGCGCAATGAGAGCCCCAGGCTGACCTCCTCTCTCCGCAGGTGGCCGGCGAGCGTTACGTGTACAAGTTTGTGTGTGAGCCCGAGGCCCTCTTCTCCCTGGCTTTCCCGGACAACCAGCGCCCAGCTCTCAAGGCCGAGTTTGAGCGGCCAGTCAGTGAGGAGGACACCGTCCCCTTGTCCCACTTGGACGAGAGCCCCGCCTACCTCCCTGAGCTGACTGGCCCTGGACAGTCCTTTGGCCCCAAGGGTGGCTACTCTTACTAGCTGCCCGCTGCCACCACTGGATCCTGTCCCGTGTACATAGAGGTGAATCTGGCGTTGGGGAAACCCTGACAGAAACCCACAGATGTCTCGGGCAGATTCCCACCGTCCACGGGCTACCCATGGCCACAGGCACAGGAGGGAATGATGTGGAGAAAAGTCTCAAAAGCCCCCTGGGGGTTTTCACCTCTACCCCAAGGGAGGTCAGCTCCACCTCTCTAAGCCCCACCCCACTCCACCACAGAGGAGAGCTTACTCTGTTCTGGGGTCGACAAGTACCCCCCCAGTTTATCCTGGCTAGGGCGGTGGTACACTGAGTTCCCCAGACCTGACACGGGGAGACCCTTGAACCCTGCCATCAGTCCCCCTTCAAGCTGTGGCCCTGGAGGGTCCTAGTTGTCAATTCTTGGTGCTGTCCATAGAGGCAGGGGAGGCTGCAAATAGGGACCTGGGATGGTGGGGGACCGGGAGCTCGGGTCCTTACTCCAAGGAGGCACCTGCTTCCTCCTGGGCCCAGGCCTGGAGTCCCCCTCCACAGCTGCCAGGCCCTAATAAAGGCCCCTGTTTCTCCTGTGAATCCTCCTCCTTCTCTGCTGTGGTGGGAAGAGGCCCACGCAGTGGACAGAGCTCTGGCCTTGGGGCAGACAACGGGTGTTTGAAGCCTGGCCCTGACACTTCTCTGTGACGTTGTCTTTGGGAAAGTGGGTGCTGTGCCCCTCAGATTAGTGTGTGGAGATCCAGAAATAATCCAAGGGTGCTTTCTCGTTGGCCGGCCCGAGGCCCCGGCGGGACAGGCTTCCTTAGCAGGGTCTTGGTCTGCCTGGGGAATGCCCATTCTGCAATCACACTTGCTCCCCGACCTTGTGCCTGAATACCCTCCGCTGTGGGTGAACATGCTCCCTCAGTCTGTTGGCTGCCATCCTAAGAGGGCAGGAGTGGGGAACACTTAGGTATTCTTGCCCAATTTGGGGGGCAAGTGAGCCCTGGGAGGGTGTAGGAAGCAGCATGCTGGCACCCAGTCTGCCTGAACGGGGAGTGAGCATGGCAGAATGGGCCAGCAAGTTGATGCCCACAAAGTGACCCTCTAGGGCGGGGTAGAACTGCCCCTGTCAGTTACCGAGACATTGTTTATGAAAGTAGAAAGCACTTTCTCCTGCGGAGCTGCTGGTTCCGAACTACTCACCTTGCAGATTGCAGCCAAATGCATACACACTATGCCACCAGGGCTCAAGGTTGGGCCCGGACCCGTTAAGACCAGTCCACTCAGGAGTAGCCCGTGGGACAGGACGTTTCAAAGGGCCACTAAGATAAACCTTACACTAAGTACAAGTACTCTCAATTCTAAAATGCAAGATTTTAAAAATGTAGCATTTAATTCCACATTCACGCCAGGTTTATAGGGAGAGGGAGGAAGCTGAGGTCAGGACAGAAAGTCAGGAAAGATTTCCATGAACAGCAACATCAAGGGGACTGAGGCCCCCCCGTTCAGGAAGGCCCTCCGCTCTGCTCAGACCGAGCGCAGCCTGCCAGCAAATTCTTGGGCTGTACAAGCGAGCATCTAAAGGTAAACCCCAGATCAAGCAGCCTGACCCAGCAGTAAAGCTGATTTATGTAGGCTCCATGGAGACCTTCCCCACACATTTACACAAACAAACACGGACTCAGCATTTGAGTAAGGACAGGAAACTCCTGAGCTGGGGCTCCTGCTGGGATGGGGGGGGGGACACACAATATGCTTTAATAGCCAAGAAGCTTCCAGTTCCCAGCAAGAGCCCATGGCCGAAATCCTGCCCTGAAGCAGGCCCAGTGGCCGAGCCAGCCCCCTGGTTCCCGACAGTCGGTCCAAAGGTGAGCGCCACCATGCTGTCAGCAGCAGAGGTGGCTCCAGCGTGTGCTCAGGGAACACCCGCACAGCTGGGGTCCTTTTGTTGCCTTGCCCAGAAAGATGACTGTCCCCACTGTCTCTCCCCCGTGGCCTGTGAACATCCCTGGAACCCAGACGATTACTGTCCACCCGTAGTGCTAAACTGGGGAGGGGAGCTGGTGCTAGCCCCTACTCCCCGCCTGGTTTTATCTCCCAACTCAAACTCCCTGCCCGTGTTCACGCTGACTCACAGTGACCCTAACACCCGGACTGCTAGCAGGGGCTTACAAGGAGCCCCTCACGGGTCAGATGTCCAGTCGGCTTCACCCAGGGTGAGCGGCAGGCAGCAGCCTCCCCCACTGCTCAGCTGGCGTCCCCCCGTTGTCCCAGTGGTTCAGTGCTGACCCGTGACGGCCCGGGTTGCTTCTCTCCCCTATGTGTTCATCACTTTGGTCTGGGAGAGGGGATATGCCTGATGCTGGGGGGCTTCTCTCCAGGTAGAGAGCTTCCATAGGAGCTGAGAGAGGACCAGGGAGAGGTGACCCTGCTTCCCCCAGCCCTCTAGGAATTAAGAGAGACCACTGAGGACAAGACCCGCTCTGAGGAGTGTTACGTTGGTTTTAGGTGGGGAGGGGAGGTCTTGACAATAAAAACCCTTTGTGAAGGAGGTAAAAAGAAAGGCTGCTCACTGTCGGTGTGGGGAGAGGGAGGGGGTGCCATTCTCTGCAACCACTCAGGCCCCAGACGCAGCGTGCTGTGGATGTGGCTCACCCCTGACGGTGGCCCGCCGGCCCAGCCCCAGTGCTGAAAGAAGAATGGCCGGCTGTCTGGGCGGATGGTCCCGTCTCAGCCCAGAGGCCAGAGCTCTGGTTTTGGGGGGACTCTCCACCTTCTGCAGCAGAGCCAGACACTAAATTGCCCTCACCTTCAACCCAGCCCAGGCTTCATCCCAACCCTCCAGCTCAAAGAAACAGTCACAGAAAGCCATTTTTGTTTCTTTACGAAAATAAATATGTCCAGACAAGCCACAGTGTGGGCTGGCAAGCAGGGGGGGCGGAGGCCGCGCCGCGACACTTGTGCTGACCTTCCTGGCTCCCTCACTGAGCCTTTAGGTCCAAACACCTCCACCCCCAGTCCACCTGAGGGCTCCCAGAGGAGCTCCTGTCCTGGAGATGGGGCCATGATGCCCACCCACGTTGGCTGCAAACTCTGAGTGGCTCAAGCCTGCGCGTAGTAGGGACTGGAAGCGCCAGCCGAGGCCAGACTCAGACCCGTTTCTATTTTACCACCAGGGAAAAAAGCACTGTAGACAAGGTAGACAATGTCCGGCTTAAGCTGTTTGTCACCAGATGGCTAGCTGTATTCGCACGGCCAGCTCATGAGGACTAAGGAAGTCCAAGCCCAGGCCACTGGCAAGGGCGGCCGGCAGAGCGGCCTGGCCCTTCAGCGGCGCCGGAAGGCCCGGGATATTCTCCAGGCGTTGGGCTCCTCGTAACGATTGTACAGCGGCTCAAGACGCTGCTGCTTCTTCTGCTTGCTTAGCTTGGTCGGGTCGGAGACCTTGAAGAAGGCCGGGGCAAACTCCACGAGCCAGCGCGGATCGATGGTGGTGACTTCACGCATGTACTCCTTCGTGGTCAGCACCAGCTCGTGGTACACCACCCTGGGGAGAGAGGGGCTGGCGCTCAGGGCTCCGACAAGCCCCGCTCCACAGCCAGCCTGGTTCACAGCGGGCCTCCGTTGTGGCTGCACTTCCCCTTTTCCCTCTCCGCCCGGCCCGCAGGGGACAGACGCAGGCCGCTGTGACCACACTGGGGAGCCGCCTGCAGCTAGCTGCAAGGATGCAGTCAGGTGTGTTCTAACTCTGGTTCTGACTCTGCTAGGTAAGAGACTGGACCTCAGTTTCCTGCTGTGTAAAACGGGGCCTGGAGAGGGGGCCTTAGAAGCTGCCCAAGACCAAGCGCAACAGCGTGGGGTTTATGTTAGTGGTGAGCTTCCAACTTTTAAACGTTATGCTTACAAAAACAAAGCATTTGAAAACCCCCTTACTGGCTAACCGCCAAGATACTGCTAGCTCTGGCCCGGTGGTGTCTTCTTCCAACAGGGATAGACACTGTGCCTAACAGTCAGAGGGCCCTCGGGATACAAGCCCTGCTCGGGTGCTGGAGGCTGGTGACGACACGAGCACAAAGGCTCAGCCACCGTAGTGAAACAAGGGCCTTCCCCGGGAGGCCCAAAGTCTCACTAGACGAGCTGGCTGCAACCACTGATGGGAGTGCCACGTCCCCGAGGACGCAGGCCCCATGGCCTGGGTCACCCCCAGGTGCTCTGCACCCAGCACAGACCCGGGGCCTGCCCACCTACCATTCGGGCTGCCTGTTGAAGAGTGCACTGGAGGGATGGATGTAGACCACCTGCTGGTCGATCAGCGTCCGGTAGCCCTCCTGCGGGTCCTTCTTGGCTGCATTGCGGAAGAAGCCGCTGCAGATGGCCTTCTGCACCCGCACTGTGGACTTGCCGCAGGAGACCACGTCCAGCTTGTGTCTTTGGGAGAGGAAACACGGTCAAAGTCAGAAGACCAGTCGGCTCTCAGAGCATCTACCTTCCAGAATGGTGAGGGCTCAATGTCCCCACCGGGGTCCCTGATGGTCACCAGGACCTGTGTGGAGTCCCGGAGCACGTCGACCCAATAGGCAGAAAAGAGGCAGTAAGAGCCAGACACTTGGCTCGGGCGAGAGTTGAATTCTAGAGCAGTAACATTCCAGAAGCTTGTTTTCAACAATGAATAAGCCATGTTTCCTTCAGGAACTTTCTAGAGTGCTTCTGGGCTCTTGCTGTCCCAGGCAGAGGGAGCACAACTGAACAGAGAAGTTGAGGGGCGGGAGGTGTGAGCGCCTGAGCACGGGGTCCTGGGGAACCAAGGGCAGGCTCAGGGACACCAGAGGGACACCCGCTCACCTGTCCATGATGCCCAACATCTGCTTGCGGATGTCCTGGGCCCGGCGCAGGGAGCGAGCCTGGATAAAGTTCTCATAGCACCATGGGTTGGAGAACTTGTTGTTCTTCCAGGAGTTGTACACAGCCAGCAGGGTGAGGTGGTCCCCTTCGGTCTGGTGGAACTTGGCCTTCTTCTGATCGGCGAGGGCTTGTTTATCCTGCCAAGCAACAGGACAGGGGTCATGTCCCACCCAGCTGTCATAACTGAACACCCGGCCCTCCCAAGAAACCCACGGGGCTGTCCGAATGTCCACGCCAGGGTTGGCTCGCAGCCTGTACCTTGGGCCTGTAGAAGACGTTCTGCACAGACAGCATGGACACGATGGTCAGCATCTCCTCACTGCACCCCAGATGAACAGACATGATCAGCATTTTGCACAGCATTGGCTCCAGGGGGAACTCTGCCATCTGGTGGGAACAGAGGAAATGACAATGGCATCTGCCAGCATGGGACTTGGGCTGAAGATTTCCCTTCATGTATGCCTTGCGGGGGGGCGGCCCTCGTCTATCAGTGGATTTTATTATTCTTCACCAAATACACTCCAGTGTGACGACGCATGTGACCGAGATCATAACTACTCTTGAGGCAGGTGGGAATTCTGCAGATAACTTTTAAAATTAAGTGTATTAAGATTCCATCTATGTGCAGCGCTGAAAACTATAAGCCTTTTATGTAATGACAGGAAGAAGGTTCACTGGGAACAGGGCTAAGGAAGGAATGACCGGAAGGCCCGACAGATGATGGTGGAGAGTCTGCAATCACTGACATTTGCCCAAACTGAGAACTGTCCACCAGATGTGAGAAAGCTCAACACTGGCTCCCCCGGACAGCGAGGCTAGACGCAAGTACCCTAATGCAAAGATGGCAGTGGGCCGGTTTGGGGATCAAGACAAAACTGTGGAAGAAACAGTTCACCGAGGGAGTCGTGTCAGAGCTTAATTTGTGAAAACCATTCGCAGAAGGCTGTGGATGACCATGGAAGCCCCAGGTCCATTTCTCAGGGTCCCCGCATGGATGAAGCCTGAGGAACCCTCTCTGACCAGCTAAGGGACGGCACGGCCTTGCAATCAGACAGAGCACTGGGCGTGGACGATGGCAGAATAGTAAGATTCCAATGTAACACCGGGTCATGCTCACCATTTCCACATTGTTTCTGTTTATAACATGTCCTGCTTTCTTTCTGATTGGGGCTTTTTCTATGTTTTGTCTAGCCATTGTTGGGTTTTGTCTGTTTGTTTCCTGTTTGTGTTTGGTATCATTTTCTGTGTATGAAATCCAGACAGGTACATCTACAGAGACAGTAACTGGACTGATAATTGCCTAGGGGCATCGCAGGAGAGAAAATGCTCTGAAATTGATTATGGCAGTAAATGTACAAAGCTTACTATGACTGAATGATTAAATTGTATGATATGTGAAGTTGATGCCAATAAAGCTAGTTTAAAAAAGAAACGGTTTAAAGTGAACAGGTCCTAGCATTCCATCCAAAGCTTATCCAGGGTCCTACGAGCTTGGGCTCGCACAGGTCAGTGGATGCGGGAGGCTGGCCATGGCAGCCTCCCCAAGGCCTGGAGGGAGCCTGACCCTACCCTGCGGCCCAGGCGCGTGAGCAGGCCCTCGTCGTCCAGAGCCCCCAGCGTGTACAACTGCTCCATGGCCGTGATCAAGGTTTCCATCGGTGGGGCGTCCATGAAGTCGAAGGACAACAGGTCGTTGATGCCCATGGCCTAGAACAGAGGGAGGGAAATACAAGATGGGAGGCAGCCTGCTGACCAGTGTGAACGTGGACGGAGGCAACTGGGCCCTTTGTTGTCTTTTACCTGAAATGAGGAAGCCCCATGGGATGGACAGCAGGTGTGTTCTCGGTAAGCTTTAAAAACCACACCTTGAAATCAGCTCGTCTACCTCTCCGATGCCTGGTTTTCACCACTCGAGATGGGAGGGAGGGATGTGGAGATGACTAAGATTCAGCCTGATCTCTGAATTCACAGTAGGTGAGAACCATGGCCCCAAACCACAGAGCACGGCTTGGCACACAGTAGGCATTCAACGCACGTGCTAACTGATTTGATGAATTTTAAAACAGGAGGAACAATCAAGTGTGTAGGACTCATGTTTTTGATTTCTCTGCCATAAAGTGATCTTCACCATAAACACAGCAGGTGTTCAATAAATGCTCATCGTCACAGAACAACTACAAGGAATTATGTTAGCAATTATTAAGCCCCGCTCAGAGAGCCTTTACCTGCACTGTTTCATTTACCTTCACAACAGACACCAATAGCAGCTCTCTGTGATGAGGACAGACAGGGGCGGG